GAGAAAGCGAGAATTTCCGAGGACTAACGGTATATGAACATCATGGCTCCTATCATCTGATCAAGCTTTATATATATATATATATATATATATATATGCATAGATCAATAAAACAATTCTCAAAGAACTAAAGAATAAGACATAGTAACAAATAAACACGTTGAAAGCCATGGACTAATTGGCTTGAAAGATTATTTAACTAAAGCATTAAAATTTATTTGACTTGATGACATTCCATGACATATCGCGTAGCAAACCAGCTATCTCGATGAACAATACTGGAAATTCTACAGAAAAAATGACAATTTGGTGATGTTCCTTTGTTCTCCAATTGAGTTCTAATAAACATAAGAAAATGGTGGCAAGAATTGGAATTTTTCGATAAATGAAATGAATATGGAATAGAGGTGGGGTCTTGAGGAATCGAAAGAAAGTGGGCTCAAAGGAAGAAACAACCCTTCAATAAACAATTTAAGAAGTGTAAATGTGCCTTTGAAAAAAGTCTAATTTATCAGTATTATAAAAATTGGTTTGCAGGGTGTCCTTTAGGATTATGATAATGTAGTTATGGTGAATCTATTAAGAAAAAAATTATGTTATATTTTAATCCCACTATTGACTTGCTCATGATTGCTTTTCGAGTTTCTTATATGTGTGGAGACCTCAAAGGATAGAGACCAACGGTAAATCAAAATGACAGATGATTTTGATTAGAGTTGTCAACTGGATGAGTGTGAAACGTGTAGAGCATTCTTCACTTTTATTCTAAATTTTTTATATTATATTTATTCCTGTACTTGTATTCAAATTATATTTTAAATTCATTTTTATCTTCATCTCCATGAATATTTAATAAATACGTAAATTTCTAGTACCCATAACTATTTAAAGAATAAAATATATTTAAATATATTAGGTACGGATATGAAGTGAATGATACATTACTTGTTTTCATTTTTGTATCCAACTAATATTTTGAAATCATATGCATTTGTATTCTCATCATTAAAGTTAAATAATCCATATAAAAAAGAATTTGGTGATTTTACTTTTGGTGCTGCAAAATCTGATGCAAAGATGATGAAGATGATTAGTGTAATCAATGGAGGCGCCCAATTCATCATGAAAAGCTGATGGAAAAGTTGAATTTCACGCCACCAAATAAAGTTTAGGGGAGCTCTAAATGTGTTTGAATAATGAATGAAATGGAAGACCATCAAGTCTCTTTTTTTAATCTCTCAATCATATCTTTGAGTGCCACTCCCATTTGAATTTGACATTTAAAGTGACTTCAGCACTTATATACAAATCGCACGCTTAACCCATCATTCATCAGAAAAATAAATAAATTTCTGTAATCTGTACTTTGCAATCTTAAAATGCATGCTTGACTTCATTTGTCAAGGATTCAAGACCCCAAGTTTTGACAATCAAATCTTCTTCTCCAATCCTTGACTTAAACTATTTGACAAGTTGGTACCTTAGATAATGTTTAATATTGTCTTCCAAATGATTATTAGCAGAATCAATCTAATTGATGTGAGAGCTCAAAAACATGAGTTGTGAACAGTGAAACTTGTTAAACGACCGGGATTAAGTGGTAGCACGAGTGATGAGACAAACGTGAAATTTTTTTTTCAGTCACTTTCAGATTCATAATATGTTGTTATTAAAGTTGTTTATGCGCTTGGGGAGTGTTTGATTTTAATATAATCATATCATCATTGATCAAACACTGACATATCAGTTGAAAAGGAAAGGGCATAATGATCCTCCATTATATGAAAAATAATAGACAGTAATGCTTCTTTGGTAGTTAGATTGTCCATTTATGCTAACTGTGAGTTTTTTTGCTTACATGGACAAGAAGAAAGCCTGAACTCGGGCGAATGCACATGTACAAGTAGGGTGTTCATGTGGGTATTTCTAAAAATTAAAAAACAAAAGAATTTGACACCCCCAAAATTTTCTTATAAACACTTTTTCCTTCGATAAAACTGATAAATTTGTAGACAATTTTTTATATATATTATAAGTGGACTCCCAAATAAAATCCTTGATCCGACACTGCATGAACTTATCGATGTTGATCTGCAATTTCATTACTGCCCCTAGTTAGTTATAATGGCTCTAAAACTATGATACATATAAAGGGAAATGTCAAAAGGCATATTAACTGCAAACAATGATTGTATATAATGAGTTTATCAGTACTGCTGCATGCAGTAGTTACATGCTTGTCTTTTGTCACTACCTCTAATATTTCAGTGTCCTGTTGAGCAAAGTTGTTTGGTCAAAGCAGTGGACAGAGTCCTCATTTTCCTAGTTCCTCAAGAATTCAACAAGAAAATAAAGGAATAGAATATCAAATAATCAAAAAAAAGAAGAAAAGAGAGGATTAGAGGAAAAGGAAAAGGAAAAGAGAAAGAAGAAAGATTCTGGAATGTGTAGTCAATCAATTTGCTGCATAAATTTCTAAACTACCTTTAACACTCTTTATATTCCTATACAGAAAACAATGATTATTCTCTAACTTTTTAGGCATATTTGATTCCAGGGCTGCTATTTATGGAAACTAAATTCTGATGTTTAACAGTTCTTAATTATATAGAAAAAAAACATACTCTGGTGGCAGTGGTGAATATTTTCTAGTGCTAGTTTGAAACTACTTTCGCATGATTGTTTGAAGCTGATTGCTTAACCTCTTACTTAATTTCAGGAATACATTCTAAGATTAAAATGGAGGCCTCCTTTTCTAATGAATAAATGAAGGGTTAATGTTCTAGAAGCTGTCAACTCCAGGATTGAAAGTAAACCTCACAATTGGTATATACTTGTCATGTAAAACAGTAACATTCTTTTATTACAGTGTTGTTTTACATGAAAATTGTATCATAATTCATGATAAGAAAAGCACAAAATACTTAATTTTTTTAAAACCTGTGCATTATTTTTTAAAAAATTTTAAATTGTATCTTTTTTCATATGTCATTATGTTTTGTTTTAAATTGACAGATCAACTTGGAAGCCATCAGTCTACAGAAAATCTTTATCACATTGATTTTTACTGAGAAAAAAAAAATTGCACACGATGCAACGTACTGTTTGAAATTCTATTATTAATTTTTGTATTCTGTGGATCATACAGACAATATAAAAAGTATGAAGTTCCTATTATTTGTGGTTTAAGTAACATGTCTTGTCAAACATTTTAGTAAAAGAAATCAAACACCAACTAATCACCTGTGGCATCTAAGAGCAAAAACATCACACGAGACCTAAAATGAGAATAAATCATCTTCCATTGAAAATTAGAGTTTTAGCTTTCCCATTCACTGAACATTAAGAAAAAAAAAAAAACTATTATTTAGGTATCAAAACCACTAAAAAAGGAAATTCTCTTTGTCCACTGCTTTTCTGAAAACAACTAGCCCACCCACATTATTGGGTAATTTGCTACTATTTTATACAGGGGATCAGGACATTACATGAAGTATCCCCACCGCCCCCAATATATATGTTTATTGGTACAATAAAGCTTAAGGTGAGAGGAGAATTTTTATTTTAGAATTAGAGTTGACGGTAAATCTTTAAGAGAATTTATATTAGATTTTACAAATTATTTACTAAAGAATATTACTGGCAACAAGATTAAAATTTAAATTTTATAAGTGAAATATTCAAACTTGACCGACTCAACTGAGTTGTTGATAAAACATAAATATTATATATATGTTAAGATTATTCTTAAAATTGTCGAAGAAAAAAAAAAAAACCCAGAGGAATCCTCTTGTGAGCCACATCTTTCTCCCATGATCAGTTGACTAACTCTAATTCATAAAATTGAAGACAGTAGACACGCACAGATAGATGACATTTAACAGATGATCCATTCATGGAAGTTTTCATGAAATATATGAAAAAACAAAAAAATGGTGAGTCATATAGCAACGATGTCTGTCCGGAAATTTAATATGGTTCCAAAGACTTATTTGTTCCACTTTATAATAATTTTGGAGCTAGACCGAAGTCAGCCTACCCTTTGACCTACCAATGACACTAAGGTTTCATGAAATTTCCGTGCTACCAGCTTCAAAGATTGACTCTACGAAACTTTAAAAAGCAGAAGAAGCCAATGGCCACAGAAATATTTGTCTTATTGCCTTTTCTATAGTTTTTGTTTGGTTTTTCCACTTTAATGAGAAGGTATGAGCCTTTTTTTTTTTCCTTCTTTTCTGATAAAAGTGGATTTGGGGAAATGTTCCCAGAACAAAATTAGATAATAATAAATATCTATTAATGAATAAAATAACAAATTTGACGTGTTACCTGATGAGTTCAGAGTGATGAAATCCCTGCGAAACCAAGTACTCTTTTCCTCGCACCATAAATACCTAGCTTAATCTTCTCATACTTGTGCAGGTTGTGATAATATTTTGAGCTTCAAGTGGGATTACACAGTTCCTCTAATCTGTCATAATCATTCTTTCTCAAACCCATCAAAGATTCAATATTTCAATATATACCCTCTTGTGTGGTTCTCGAAACAGGAAAACAAAAACAGTTGCTTTTGCATATACCTAAAAAAAAACTCATTCCCCCAAGTTTCTTCCCACTAGCTTATTCATTTTCCAACCCAACTTCTGCAACAGACACACTTTCTCTTTTGCCATCTCCTTTCTGTACAGTTTCTCTTTTTCTCTGCAGATTTCTCCCCTTTTCAAAATTTCTGCATAGGCAGTTTGGAAAGGCCACTTTCTTCTACAGGTCGCCGCATATTTGGCAATAAAGGTATAGTGTATACTGTATAGTGGTCCATGGAAATATGTCGGGTTATTGGATTTTCCCTGTGTCCTCCGTTAAATTCTTTTATTGGGATAAATACAGAGAGTTAGCTCCATTTACTTGCTATGGTTTTGTTTCTTTCCATTTCTAAACAGAATTTTCTAGTGGTTTTGATCTAACTATATACTACTATATTTTGTCAACTTTTCCAGGGTTTTAACATGAATCTTTCCATGTCTGCGTGCAAACCAGTACAACCTCGAGTGAATTTGGGGCTAGAGCCTTTGTTCCACAGGAAAGATAAGCTGGTGTCTGTAATGGGAGCAACCGGCACCGGCAAGTCCCGCCTGGCAATCGACCTGGCCACCCGTTTTCCAGCTGAGATTGTAAATTCAGACAAAATCCAAGTTTATAAAGGCCTAGACATTGTAACTAACAAAGTCACTGAAGAGGAGTGCCGTGGGGTCCCGCACCATTTGCTAGGCATAGTAGATCCCAACGCGAATTTCACATCGATGGACTTCCGACACCATGCATCACTTGCTGTTGAATTCATACTCGCCCAAGGCCGCCTCCCAATCATTGCCGGGGGCTCCAATTCGTACATCGAGGCATTGGTGAACGATGATCCTGAATTTCAGTTACGGTACGAATGTTGCTTCCTATGGGTTGATGTGTCATTGCCCGTGTTACACTCATTTGTGTCCGAACGGGTTGATAAGATGGTGCAAGCAGGCTTGGTTGATGAGGTTAAACGAATATTTGATCCAATGGCTGATTATTCCCGGGGGATTAGACGTGCAATTGGGGTCCCTGAATTGGACCAATACTTTCGTTCTGAATCAATTCTTGATGCCAAAATTCGAGCTAGGTTGCTTGAGACGGCCATTTCAAAAATCAAGGAAAATACGTGTATTCTTGCCTATCGTCAATTGCAAAAAATTCGCCGCCTTTATAACCATTGGAATTGGAGAATGCACCGGATTGATGCCACAGAAGCATTCCTAAAGCGCGGCGACGACGCTGAGGAGGCATGGGAGAGACTCGTGGCGGGACCATGCACAATGATCGTGGACCGATTCCTCTATGACGAGAATAGCGTTGCCACCATTGTACCAGCCAACTCCGCGATGGTCGCCGCAGCCGCCACATCATCAGTCCCCATCCCAGCGGTTGCGACAGCAACCCGTTAAAGGTAGGACCCACGAAATCTGCCACATGCAAATGATGTGCCACGTGGCATCATGCCACATGGCAGGTTGGCATCGTATATTTAGATAAATTTTTTATTTTTAATTTATATTTAAATAAAATTTTAAATATTAAATTATATTTAAATAAATTTTTAATTTTCAATTTACATCTAAATAAAATTTTAATATAAATCAATTTATTTTTTAAAATAATAATTTTTTTAGATAAAAATCAAATAATAAATCTACAATAAATATATAAAATTTTCTCTAAATAAAATATTAACGTGCAAAAAACTCTTTTAATATAAAAAAAAATTTAAGGATAGGAGATTCTGATAAGTTAAGAGGTTGCTGTCAGGTCGCTAACCGCATCGTTTGTAGGCCGTACAAATGGAAGCATTTTAGGAAGCTGTGCGGGCTGTGTGATTTCCGTACTTGGATGCGGTGTGAATGCATCAAGCATGATACGGGAGTCTCTCTTCTATGGGGTCTATTCATTTGATCGAACCAAAAGTCTAATAAGTCCATGTATTCCAATGCCTTGTGTAAGTGACGATGGGTGGCATTTGAGTCTTTTTATTTGCTTTCTTACTTAAAATGATACCTAGCATTATATATAAAGAAATCATTGGAATATCAGAAGCTGTCCATCTTTTGCAACTCCATGATTGCTAAATCAAGTGCCATTCATTCCAGACCAGATGGTTTTAGAACCTTAGAAATCTTGGAACCCCTTCCAAAAAAAATTCTCTTGATGATGGAGAGAGTATATGCTTTTTGATTGACAGTTGATGGGTATCAACGATTGTGATTGAACTTTTTCATGCGAATCTGGAAAAGGAGCAAGGGCTTAACAGTTGCAATTTGGTGGGGTCAATGCAGAAGCCCTTGTCCTCAGCCATTTCAATTGATTCTAATCCATATAATATGGTGCTTTATGCCACTCACCTCTCACCGCCTCTTATTTACATTTCGATCATATCATGTTTTATAGTTCGTACATAGTCGGCAAATTCTTTTTAATTTTATAAGCAGAATTAGATTTTTATTAAAATTTTTAATTTGTTTATTTATTTATGAAAAACATGCATTAATTCTCTAATTTCATTATTGGTGTTTTAAACGCAACCTAATGGCATATTAGATAATTTTTTATTATATTTTATTGTTTAGTTAATGATTATTTATAGCCATACATTAAAATTAATTAATTTAAAAAAAATAATTTTCTTCTAATATATATTTGTTTCATTGAATTTAAAAATAAATAATGAAATATTATTCATTATATTGATGGTAAAATTTTTTAATTTTATGGGTGGATTTAAAAATTGAAACATATTTATTTAGGATATATTTTAAAATAATTAATTATTTAATTATAAGTTTATTTTTTTTCTAAATATCACTTTATAATATTAATAGACAATAATTAAAAATTTTCATAATGTAAAAAGTTCTCGTAGAATAAACATGAAAAAAAATCTTCTGCTTTCAAAAAGGTCAAAATCAGCTTTTAGTGAAAGAGTCGAGAGAAGGAGGGGATTGGGGGGGGGGGGGGGGTAACCTTGGCTTTGCATCCCATGTTGCAAAAGGGATAATTCTTTAAAGCTTCCATGGGTATCATTCTTTTCTTCTTTTTGTCCTTTTGGAAATATGTGAGGATGCCTAGTCGAACTAATCTACATCATATACATACATGCATATATATATATATATTCATACTAAAAAATAAAAAAAAATTACAAAAATTTAAAATTTAAATTTACTGAATGCCATTTAAATATTACTTTTAAAAATAATTATATGAACTAATTGAACTAAACTTCGAATATATCTATAATAAATATTTTATTAACTAAAGTAATATACTACATGAGGGATCTTTTAAGTACATATGTATGAGTAAAGATTCACTTAATTGTTTTGATTTTAAAGATGAAAAAAAATATGTAGTTCTTGCACGACTGCAAGTGAATCTCTCATGTATGTGTGTATATATTTACTTATAATTATTCGCACTTACACGTAGACTTGTTTATACTCAAGTAAGACATCGTATACATTCATCAACTTGTCTCATAAATTGCAAGTAAGAAAAAGCCCACCAAAAAGTATCCTTATTTCAAAAAATGCTATATAATGCAAAAAATTGCAAGCGTAAAATGTGTCATACAAACAGAATGCTATAAGCGATGGGAAATCTTAGTTAGGATACCTGTTAAGGTTTTATTTAAGAAAAAATTAGGTTAAAGGGTACAAAAAGCTTTCGACCTATAATTAACAAATTATACAAGTCTTTATTTTTTATTGCAATTAATCAATACCTCTGATATTTATCTGCATGCAATTAAATTTTTATTTAGATAAAAAGTTAATACCGTTAATTTTTTTTACCAACTAAGTAAAATTTCATGTCATATAAAAATTTGCCATTGGATATAATTAATATATGTGAAAATTAAATAAAATAAAATTTCTTCTTTTTTTTTTTTTTCTTCTCTATTTTCTTTCCCCCTCTCTCTCTCTCAAATCCCTCTAAGGGTTCAGTACTTTGGGGATTGATTGATTCAAGTTTGCAACATGACTAAATTTTATCCAATTAAAGGTTCAATTGAGTTGAAATAGAAGATTAAAGGTACGATTGATTGTAATAAAGTGTTAATAACTTAAATGATTTTTTAATTATAGTTAAGGAACATTTTTTAACTTTTAGCCAAAAAATTATAATTATTGTATTATTTTTTCTTGAATTTAATTAGTGAATATATGTATTATAATTAAGTGCAAAATTCTTTTTAAAACTAGTATATATTTTAATTTTCTTTAACTAATGCCAATAGAACCCTTAACGGAATCCTTAGTTATAAATTTTCTAGGCAAAACTTTATATGTTTCAATTAGATTTTGTTTGCCTTTATAATTTTTCTCAAAAAATAATATTTCTCTTTCATTTCTAAAGGGGAAAGAAATTGTAATAATGAAGTTTAGGATAATTAGGAGGAGAAAATCCCTTAGTATTCATTCATACTTTCTATCAAAGAATAAATAAAAAGATATGCATCTTTCAATCCCTAATAGCCTCAAAATAAAACAAGTTGGAGTATTTCTTGCTACAATTGCCATTTGCCTTTACTATATTAGGTACGATTGATCCCAAGAATACCTTTAAAAATAATCAAATCTTAAACATAAGGATACATGCATATTATTGCATTATGTGTGCTCCAAAAATGCACTTTTCAAATTCGCATAGGCATAATGTAAAAATTAAAAGAAAAATGGAGCACATGAACATTTGTTGTTGGCCATGATTATGATGAAACTAGATAAAGCTAAAACCAAGAAGAAAAAAGGAAAGATGCCAATGCTAACTAATGCATCCATCTTTTTCCTTCGTCTTCTAGAATTTGTCTTTTAATCCTTTTTAATGGGAAAAGTTAGAGGGTTGAATAAGATGGGAAGAAGAAGGAATTCCCACAACACTATTTGATTCTAATTTATCACTATCTACCAATTACTTGGTTAAGCATAAGACAACATAAAGATCAAAGAGCAGAATATGATGAATCATTATCTGGAAGAAAACAAAAATTATGCCAGAACAATTCAAGGATCAAAGCACGGCGCAATATCGGCTAGTGGGGTATCTCAATGTGACTAAACGAAGGCCATGCATCAATCAAACATGAATGAACCCTAAAACCAGTAAGGCAAAATCGTACGTGAATTTTGGCCCTGAAGAATCTTGTGTCGATGCCTGGCGAGTACAACATAAGGACAAGCGAACCATCCTTGGGGTGCATCGTGCACGTGAGGGGTGGTAGATAAAGAGAAAAGTCACGTGTGCAGTGAAGTAGCCCAACATATATATATATATATATATATATTTGTATCCCATTCTCTTTCGAAAGGCTATTAAAATTTTCAAGTTGGGTAATGATCCTTTTTCATTTTACTTGTAAAACCCACCATATTGGAGATGATTGGGGTCCTGGCATAATAATTGATAAGTAATAGCATGAAGATACGTGAAAGAAATGATTGAAGAATTTGAATTTGAATTTAAGATATGCTTGTTTTTATATTTTAAAAATAATTATATAAATTAATTAAAAATATGCATATTTATTTTTATAATTAAATTTAATATAAAATAAATTTATATCTCAAAAATTATGCAAGAGCAGCAAGTTGAAGATTACGATAGTATCATTTGCATATATATATTTATGGTCTCGAGGGCACGTGGACAGTTAAACCAGGCTGAATTAGAATAATCGATACAAATGGGAGACCGTGACGTTTATCCCTTGAGCCTGATGTAAACATAGATCGTTATTATACTCGCGTACGAACAAAAAATTACATGTGTTTTCAAACAAAAAAAAAAAGTAAATAAATAAAGCATCACATCATGGGCGGTAAGACCAGCCAAAGATGTCTCCTATCAAGACCCCCCACTTGGACCTTATTATTCCTATACCATACAAGGATTCCGCTACCCCCCTGGTCCACGGGATGAGCTCTGCACAAAGTTTTTCAAGGCCAAATTCGATCCCATATAGTATTTAATCGAAAAACTTTTTTACTAAATTTTAAATTTAAAATTGGGATTAAAAATATTAAAATTTTTTATTACTTTAATATATTTTTAAAATTTTAAAATTTGTTAAATTCAATGAACCGAATCTAACTTTGAAAAAAAAAATTTTTAAAATCAATCAAATTTGACTTAACTCAATCTATGAATACATTTTCTTATCCTCATATGATTAAAAAAAAAAAATCATTTTCAGCTCCCATCTCACCTCCTCGTGCGCCTCAAATTCCCTCTCATCCACAAAATTATTTATCAGTCTTCGGCTTTTTCCGTGTCTCTAGCTTGATAGTTTTATTTGTTTTGGAATTTTAGGAAGGTCCCCTTGGATGCTTCTCTCATTATATTGTGTGTAGGAGTAAACCGTTCAAAGACGTCTAAGTTGAAGACTTCTTTTTTTTGGCATGGCCTTTGTAAATTAGACTTGACAGCAATTTGTAGACGTGGAAGGTGATATTATCTCATGCATGTAGTGTATCATCTTCGCTATTTTGTTTTATGCCCAATCCCCCCGCTTTGAATTGCCTATATGCAACTGAGTCATACCTTAAACCTTTTCTTCTCTTGAAAGATTCAAAGTGAAAATCTTATGTAATGTTTGGATAAATATTAATAAAAAAAAAGAAATAAAAAGAAAGGAAATGATATATGTATTCCTTGTTTGGATAATTAAAATTAATAAAAGAAAGAAAAAAAATTCTAATAACCATTATTTAGATAAAGAGTGAAAAAGAAATGATATGATTCATTATAATAATTTTTTTCAATTATAACATTTTATTGCCTATGATTTTAAAGCACTCATGAACTATAATATGTTTACTATCTTGTATGACCTTACTATTGTTGTTATATCAATGATTTTTAATCAAGTGAAACAGAAAGATGTTTTACAAATATGCATTGATGGATTTTTTACCATTGCCAAAATTTCAATACATTATCACTTTGGTGATGTATTCATATAAAGCTATTAAATATAAAAAATACAATCACATTAAAATATTACATCTCATAAACCTAAAAAATATGTCTATTCATATTGAATTATTCATCAAAATCAAATAACCAAAAAATTATAAAAAAATTATTATATTGAAAGAGACATGTGAAACTTAATTGAAGAAAGAGATGGTTTTGAAAAAAATTATAAGAAGATTGTGATGTGGTTAGATTTTTTTGATTAAGTTTTTAGTATTAATAAAATGATGGATATAATAGTCTTTTATAAAAAAAAATTTTTTTCAACTTTCTTTTCTTTACATTTTCTCCTAAATTGAGGTATTAAAAAAGTGTGAATTACAAAGGAAACCAAAGGTTATTGAGTTTCTATCTCTTTCCTTTCCCTTAAATTAAAATTTATCCAAACAAAGGAAGAGTTTTTTTTTGT